TTGAAGGATGCTGGAAAGAGAAACTTTATTACTTCTCTCTTTCATTTTGTAAAACTTTATTTCTCAAAAACAGAACTAGCCATAGGACTGGGAATTCCACTTCAACATTATGACTTTTGAGGCATTTTACACATTTTGTTAAGGTTAATTTTTCTTCATAAAGATTCTGTTAGTAAAGAAACTCATGATTTCCCTAGTATTACAAATTATTTGATTTAAAATTTTATAGTAGTTCCCATAAAAAAGTATATACCATAAAATATACCATAATTACTCTTGTGTATGCTTTATATATTTAGCTGGGTTGATGTGTCACTTATTTCTCTTAGAGAACCATACACACTACAAAACTAGCAGCTGTGCTTAAATAGAAATTAATTTCTACTTTATTTTTACCTCTTCTAATGTGGAACTAGGGGCTGAGAAGTAAGGAGATTTACTAATCGTCATTCAGACAGCCTTACTGATATATGGACATAATAAATGTTAGGGGTTCCCATAATAGGTTTTCATCATGATATCTTGGGGCCGAGGTAGTGGCTATTTTGCCAAATTCTCAGGATTATGGGACATAAATCAGAAGGGATTTCCCTGCCACCACAGAGACCAGTCCCTCTCCTTCAAACCACACTGAAGCTTCTCTTTCATCTGAGTTAAAAGTCATATATTCACTATCTCTGCCAGCCAGATAAAGACAAGACTGATGCCATTTGGATGAATTCAAACTCAGCATTCAGCATTAAATAGATAATAAAGTGTAGTCTTAATAATCTGGAAAGAGAAATTAAATTACTGGACCAAATATTGAAAGATAAGGCTTTACCGTCTGGAGTTTCAGAGGTCCTTACTTTCTGTATTTTGTGCAGTGGTTGTGTGAGAATCCTTGCTTCCTGGTCTTCACAAAATTTACAAGACCGAAGGATCTTCCAGTATCATGTGCTTTCATGAAAACAGCGTAATTGATTGTCTCACTACAACGCCCCACCCTTTATTTTCTGTTTATTCTTTTCATGCAAAAGCAAAATGAGTGACAGTCTCACCTACTGCTTCTAACACTTGTTATCCAATTTAATCATACAATTTTATATGTAATGCATATATATTTTTTAAATAACACTAAGAAAGGGTGAAGCCCCAGGAGTTTTGTTGGCAGCACTTAAAAAAAAAACAAAGGACACGGACTGATTTGTGTTGTAAGAATGCTTCTCTCAGTGTCTAAATTTGGATCTTAATTGATAGTGCACTCTTATTTATTCGACATTTCTTTTTTCCTCTCATGGAGCCAGACATATCTTATTTTGTATCCTGCTGGAGCATGGAGAGACAACAGTGTCACAGCTGGTTTCTATCCAACACAAAGTCTTTAGGAATTCATCTCTCTCCTTATGGCAGAAGAAAAAGAATACAAGATACCTTGTTTTTAAGGCAATTTTTGAAACTCATTTTTATCTAAAGTCGCTTTTGTACAGGGGCACATGACCGGCTCAGTCAGAAGAGTACGTGATTCTTGATCTTGGGGTTGCGAGTTTGAGCCCCATGTTGGGTGTAGGAATTACTTAAAAATAAAATCTTTTAAAAATAAATAAATAAAGTAGCTTTGTACAGAAATCACATTCTGATTAAATATAATGATATGGGCTCTATGCTAATATATTTTAGGAGAAACAAAGGAATGGTTTCCTAGAGGAGTCTGACTCCTCAGTCCCCCACATGTTATATGTGTGATATTTAATGATATTATTATCTTCAATATCCTTATTGAAACTAGCAGCCTGAAGACCAGATCAACAACTGAACACATTATTTAAAAATTACATTGCTTTAGAGCACTGCACTGTATTCACAACCGGTTACCTGACCCTTCTGTTTTTCTAAGCATCTCGAAGATTATTCCAAAAGGATAAAGGATTCATGAATATTATTAATGTTTTTCCACCTCTCAGTATTTACCTTGGAAATGTTGATACTCTGGGACCATCCATTAAAAAAAATTTTTTTTAATCTTTTGGTAACTTCCGTTTTTAAAAAAAGTCTTCTTTTCCTTCCTTCATGCAACTAACCTTTCTACTGTCAAGTTATTTTCCAGCAATCTATAGTCAGAATTTCATAGTGTAGAGTCTCAAATATTCTGATTTTTAACTCTTTGATTATAAGGCCTCAGAGCAATCATGGATTAGCAAAATTTTTCCCCTCAAACAAATACTGGTTAACGTTCCAAGATCAAATGACCTATTTCAGTTTGGGAAAAGATATTTGATTACAGAATATTCAGAATATGAGGGGAAAATTAGTAAAGCTGTATCAGGGCCTATGTGCATGAACTATACCAAATTCTCCCATTTTGCCACTGAAAATGTATTCAAACACGTTCAGAAGAAGTCAGGAGATTGACATGATAGCCAGGTGTACAGGATTCTTTATAGAAAAAGGAAATGTTGCATAATCTTCTTTCTAAAACATCCTTGATGTTTCCCTGAAGCAAACTATATACCTTTAGTAAGGAAAACACACACACACACACACACACACACACACACACACACTCGATTATCATCAGGTTACCTTAACCTGGTTCCTTGTAAAGACATATTTCTGATGCACATGAGTATTTAAGAGTACTACCACTTGGTGTCTTTGGATAGGATAAAAAGAGAGATTTACATAGGATTATGTTTTGTTACAAGGACATACCAGATGTTGGACAGTCACGTGAACTTTCTGGTGGACCAAGAAGTCCACAGTGCATGATGGTCTCTCACATGTCTACACAATGCACAGTACACAGTACACAATACAACTCCTATACAGAGGGCCAAAAGCCAAGTGTGCTATGCAGAGCAAATACAAACCCTGCTAATCATAAACCTCTAGATACATACCTCTAGGTAATGCATTTATAGCACCCCACTCTTCAACCCCACAACCTGCAATGAGGACGTTTGGTCAAAAGTGTTTCTAAATTTACTGTGAAGGTCAAGTTTGGCTTAACCAGTCTTTCATCAATACTTTTGCTTCCAGAATGTATTTATTACAGCAACTATAATCTCCTATAGGACTGAAATGTATGCTTTCTTAACTTTTTAGTTTGAGTTCACCTTTCATTCTGTTTAGTAGAATTTTTCTAATCATTTGGCCAACCCTAACAGCTAAGGGGAGTTGTGTGCTGGGACTAACTCCCTAAGAATTATCAGCTCAAGGTGAGTGAAGGTTCAGAGCCTGCAAAGAGAGAGCTCAGTGAACACAGATCAAGTAGAGAAGGCAGGATTCTTTTCCCTCTTGGCTTATAACACCCTTCTTTGGACTAGCACCTGCTGGATATCCCTTGGTGGGTTGTTTGTTTGCTTTGTGATCTGCATCTTGGGAATATATTAAGTACATTCTATACCGAATAGCTCGGCCAGTGACAGCCAACATGTGTTTTCCTCTTTTTGGGGGGTCTTCTCCACAGTAAAAGTAAATGTGAAAAGTGTTCCTAACAAAGGGAGGTAAAATACTAGGGATGAAAAAGCTACTGAAGAATTAGTGATCAAAAAAAAAAAAAAAAAAAAAGGAGGTAAAACCCTTATGTGGTCTTACTCATTTGCTTCCCTTCATTCCCGTTCTCTGACCTGCTTTGTGAGTAATGATTGATTCTCCACACCTGGAGAACACAACACTCTGGTGTGAGCTCCAGCCTGCAGACTTAAGTTCCTCCATTAGGAGATGAAGTATACAACAGCTTGGGCATCAGTCGTTTCACCAATGAGGTGGTAGGTCTCAAGGTCAGTAATAAGAGGTGTCTGTTTTCACTTTGCTTCACATAGATCAGGACAGAAGTCATAGACATACCATGTTAAAATATCAGGAGAGTGCCAATGTACTAAGAACCAGCAAGTTCCTCTTTTAGTTGGAAGCTAGTGTATATTCTCATACCTAACGTTTCTCCAGTTCCTTCAAGGACCTTTAGTGAATTACTACTGTATTGACATGGCTATCTCTTGGTGTGCACACACCTAGCATGGCAAACCCATATTCACACAACCTTATAGCTCTGCGATTTACATTTGAAAGAAGAGAGTCAGTTCTTCCAGAAGGACGGAAGAAACCATAAATCAAGGAGCTTTCTGTAATAATAACCCAATATTTTTGAAATTTCAGGTTCCCAATTCATGGCCTTCCATTTATCAGTAAAATTAGAGTTAGCCCTGAGTAAGAGGCTGATATTTTTCTAATCATATTTCATATAGATCATGAGTGATTTAAGGACAAGAAGCAGGCCTTGTCAATTGTGTACCCACTGCACTAAATTAATGTTTAAAACAGAAAGTCTTTAATAATTATTGTGGAATTGAGCTGAATTTGCTGATACTCAGCACCAAAAATTATTTTTCAACTTAGATAATTTAGAATACCTTCACATTCTCTTGTACTTTAGCCAGTAGGACTTAACTTAGGAGACAGTGAATAAATTATAATGAAACTTTCTTCCAAGTGGGATTGAATTTACTTCATAAAACCATTGTTTTTTAATCTGCGCATTCTACAAAGGGTGCTCCTAGTGAGAAGAAGAAGAAAAATAAAATACCACAGCATCCTTGAATATAGGTCCAACACTCAAGTCAGCTAATGAAATAGGACCCAAAGAGACTGATGCTGGGACTGAAGAATATAATACTTTTTTCTTTCTTAGAAAGTAGGAAATCTAATCACCTTCAAGTTTCTCACATTTGAGCCATACTACAAATGAGCTGTGTCCAGGTATAGAAAAACCAACAATATTTTATTTATAACCTTATTTTTTTTAGTTTTTGAACTACAAATTCTGGTTCTAGAGGTGTTTAAAAGATCATGGGTTTTATAGATGCTCATATGTAAATTAATCTGTTGTTCGCTTACTTTTTTTCTTTTTTTTCTCTTTTTTTCTTTTTCTTTTTTTTTTCTTTTTTTCTTTTTCTTTTTCTTTTTTTTTTTCCTTTGTCATTGAATGGTTCTCATAAATACAGAACAGGTCATTACATGAAAAATATAAGATCTTGCATTTTTTTTTATCTCGTTCTCTCTTAAAAATCTATTTCTAATATTGCATTCCCCATTGGACTACTTCATAAGGGCATGAGGGAAAGAAAGGAAAGAGAAAAAAAAAAAAGAAAGAAAGAAAGACAAAATAGACTGGTTCTCACCACTAGAATTCACCATAAAAATCTCAAAGTGTAACAGAATTCTTACAAAATTTCCTAGGCCAGTTCTTTAGGGACTTGAGATCTATGAAAAATATGGCAACCAGGGAAGGCAGGGATGAGATGTGGGAAAATAGTAAATAAGTGCAGCAAAAACAGGTTCTGAGGAATACACATAATTTTGTCTGCTTTAGATCACAATAGAATTTTTAATAAATAAATTTCTTTTCTTTTTTGTTTTTTTTTTGTAAAGACACTTTTTTGAAACAGTAGATTTAGCCCAGTCATTTGTGTCATTTTTAATAAACTGTCTTTTTTTATTGTTTGTTTTCTGTAACTCTGTAAATGTTTTAGATTTGAGTCTCTTGTACATTGTCTTTAGAGTTCATTCGGATCAATAACGGTTCATGCACTGAACTGTGTATTGAATTAATTGTGTTAACTGTTGTTGTGTGGTTGAAGGGAGATTTGTAAGAGTTATAGTGATTTAGGTGCTCATGCTCAATAGCAGGCATGGGCAGGTGGCTTTCCATGGGTGTATCTCCTGTAATCTCATCATCCACATTAATGATTTCAACAGTCCTTGTCGGGGCATGATGGTTTTGCCGATGGTGCTGCTTCCTCATCTTGTAGAAAATGACCAGCATCACTGCAGCCATTAGTGTGATGGCCACAAAACAGCCAATGATGATTTTGGTGGTCTTCATGACCTCATCGATTCCCGGGATCCCACTGTTTATGTCAGTCACTGGGATGGTGAATGTTTTTTCTGTCGACCTTGTGCTCTGTGGCGTGAGAGAGGTGGTCACATTGGTGGTCTCCCAGTCAATCACTGGAGTGGGGCCCACGTTGTTATCTGTGGTCCGTGCCTCATCCTGAGAAGGTTCCATAGTCTCTACTGTGACGGTTGAAAAGTAAGAGAAGGGAGTAGTGGTTGCTGCAGTAACATTCAGGGTGGCAGAAGCAGTGGTATTTCCGACAGAATTACTCACCATACATGTGTACATGCCTGTGTCTTGCACGGTTACATTCGTGAAATTTAATGTGCCATCACTGAGCACAGCTATCCGCACTTTGTATGCCCCATGTGTCATGACCGTTCCATTTGGAGTAATCCAAGATACAGAGGTCAGGGACGTGGAGGCCCGACATTTCAGCTCGGCTGCCATGCCCTCAGTGACATTGAGGTCTGCTGGGGGCTCCACAATCACAGGAGCATAGCATGTAAAGTAATTCTGGTCAAGCTCCCCGATGTACCTCCCTTTCAGATTGGGAGGAGTGTTACATCGAGCACAACAAGCTGTGTTGGAGGGGGCCATGTCTTTTATCCACCAGCTGAGCCACAGTATGTCACAGTTACAGTTCCAAGGGTTGTGATGCAAGTGTATCCGCTCTAGGTGATGCAAGGGTGTGAAGAGGTCATGAGGCAGTAGTGTTAGATTGTTGTGTGCCAAGTTTATCTCCACGAGTGACTGAAGGTTATCAAAGGCATTCCGTTCAATCACTTGAATCTGGGACTGGATCATCCACAGTTTTTGAAGGTGCATCAGTCCCTGGAACGAGCCAGGCCTGATGGCTGACAAATGATTCCCAGAAAGATCCAGCTCATCTAGTTTTATGAGAGGTGTAAGGTTAGGGATTTCGCGGAGGTTGCACATGGCAAGGTTCAAATACCTCAAGTTGGACAGACCTTCAAAGGCACCTTCTGAGATATAGGAAAGCCTTTTCAATTCCCCCAAGTCTAGTCGGCGCAAAGAAGGGATTCTGTTAAAAGCATAAGAAGGAATGCTTTCAATGGGGTTGTTTCTCAACCAGAGCTCCTTCAGTTTAGACAAATATACAAAAGCTCCATTTGGGATGGTAGTAAGACGATTGTCAAAGAGTTCCAGAGTATTGAGGTTTGCCAGACCATTGAAGGCCCCGATTTCAATTGTTCTAATATGATTCCTACTCAACTGTAGGATTTCCAGGTGCCTCAAGTGCTTGAAACTGTTCACTTTGATGATCTGGATTTGGTTCTCATGGAGGTTCAGCAGTCGCGTGTTGGTAGAGATGCCATCTGGAACCTCCCGTAGGTTTTTCCGGACGCAAATCACCTTGCTGAACTGGTTGCTGCAGGAGCAGACAGAAGGGCAGGTTTGAGCCCGCACCAGACCAGCCACCACAAGAAGTTGAAGAGCCAGCAGCACCACAAGCAGGGGGTCAAATAGGGCCCTGTTAAACCTAGGACCTATCATTATCTGCTGTGGATGTAAGGTCATCTTGTTCAACATTCATAATTTATCTGGTGTTGGTCCGTCTGGAGTTCAAATAGTCTGCAACATAAGAGCAAACAAAGGTATTAGATCTCCTCCAGATGTCTTTCTGGAGCAATGTCAGTGACATACTATACCAACTAAAGCCATCATTTCTCACACTAAGCAAACAACCAATCTAATGTCCTTTTATTGAGCGATGTGGCTCATATTTATAGAGAAAATGTTTCTGTACTTCAAATTAGCAGTCATCCACAGCCCATATCTATCAAGTGTGCACTCACAGAGAATGAGGGGAAACACCTTACAGTAGTGTTCAGCAACCAAATATGACTTGAATGCATGAGGACATATGAGATGGACCCCATCAGCAGGTTCAAAGGCCAGACCAGATTGGAAAAGTACAGAAAATAAGATTTGGCCCCATACCCAACAAACTAAAAGCTCCCTTACAAAACCAGTAATAGCTGAGGTTGTATTGAGGATTCTTCTATATGCCAGGCACCATGGGCTATAGACTTCACAAGCAATCCTGTCCAGGAGTAGCTACATAATTTGCAGGGTCCAGTGCCAAATGAAACTGGAGGATGGCTTCTTAAAAATTATGAAGACTTTCAACTCTGTGTAACAACAGAGCATTAACCAAGCGTGGGCCCTTCTGTGCATGGGGTCCTTTTCAATTACATAGGGTGTGTGGACTGATCCTTTCTTGTCCTTACACCACTGCTCTGAGGTAGGGAGGTTTACTGTCTCCATTTCCAAAATGAAGAAGTTTAATCATAGGGAAACTAACACAAAGTCACAAAGTTCATAAGTACAGAACCAGGACTCACACACTCATCTGACTGGTCCAAGAGCGTATGATCTCAAATCTCCATTAAAAAGTTTCTGGGAGAACAATGGCAAAGACAAAATATTTCTTCATGATTAATTTCTCTAAAATACCTTTTCTGGGAGGTGACCTCAGCTCTGAACCCTGGCAACTATGAAGATACACTGAAACAATGGCATATACAAATGTACATAAACTTTTAGAGATTTTCAAATACCCAAACTCACTATAATATAACAACGGCTACCTACAGGTATACAGACCACAAATTAAACAAATTAAATAATTTCCATGAAACATAACTTTTATGTACAGAGGACACCTTAGTATAACAGAAATACTATATATCTTGTACCCCTACTCTCGCTGATTTTAAGTAGATTTGTGGGAAGTGGAATAAAATAACTTACTTTCTGCATCTCTTCCAGCACAAGAAGGAATTTTAAAGGAGCTTTGGGTTACCCAGTGCTTGTCTCATTCTTATCATGAACTGGACACCTGTGTAATGACTTCTTCCAAACCTCTCATCTCAATAAAGTGTCCCTTCTATGACTCTCTTGGAAACAAACAAATGAAAAAAAAGGGATGACGATCACTACCTTCCAACTCAAAAAGGCACTAATTTAGTACTTATTATGTGTCACCTTGAACAACTTATTAATCTTCTCTCCGTAACACATCCTCCTCACTTGCAAAATGGGAATGACAACAGTGCATGCCCTTAGTGTTGTTATGAGGATAAAATTAGTTAAAGCAGATAAAGTGCTTCGAATAATGCCTCTCCCACGTTAAAAACTCAGTAATGTCAGCCATTATTATTACCGTTCTTGTTCTTGCCCTCACCCAGACATCTTGCTGAGCATATAAAGATGAAGACCATCATCCTTACCCCTGAGGAAATGATCATTTAAAAGGGGAGACAGATAGGCCAAAGATGAATCACAATAATATATGTTCATTGGTATGAGGCCAGGCCACTCTGGCACAAGGGCACTGATATCAGATCAGCTCGGTCCGTGCTGGTAAATCAGAGGATTTTAAAAGAAGAGGATCCTGATTTAGGTTCTCTAGAAGAAGTTGATTTAAAAGAAAAAAAAAAAAAAAAAAGGAAAGAAGAGCATTTTAGCCAAGGAACACCTTCAGCCAAGAGACAAGGACCTAGAAAGATGCTTGCATGTCCAGGGACCAGTAAACCATTCTCTGTGGCATGAGAATGGAGGGCCTGGGAAAGAGACAGTTCTTTCTTCCAGGCTGCTGCAGCTCTAGATTGACTTTTCACACTATATGTGTATGTATGTATGTGTGTGTATATATATATGTATATGTATGTATATGTATATATATGTATGTATATATTCTGTATATATATGTATATATATACATATATATGTACACACATATATACACATATATATATAATGTGTGTGTGTGTGTATATATATATATATATATATATACATTCTAGTACTATGATCATTAGTACTAGATCATTAGTCTCTGGTCCTGCTTCTCCCACTATCCTGTGAACACCATGAGGACAGAAGCCATGTCTGATGGTTTTCCTCACCTGTCATACTTTAGACACTGGGTAAAAAGGCTGTTGTAAATGTGTAGAAGCAGTTACTATCTAGTTACAACTCTGTGTATGTGTAGTGATAGAGACTAATATAGTAATCATGACTTTCTACTTCCTATATTTTCGTCCTTCCTTCCTTCCTTCCATCTCTCTCTCTCCTTTCTTTCATTCTTTCTTCTAAAAGAAAGAGAGAGCTCACCAGTTGGGGGAGGAAGGGCAGAAGGAGAGGAAGAAGGAGAGAATCTTAAGCAGACTCTACACCCAGCATGGAGCCTGATGCAGCGCTCCACCTCATGACCCTGAGATCATGACCTGAGTGGAAATCAAAAGTCTGGACACTTAACCAGTTGAGCCACTCAGGTGACCCTATCTTCTATCTTTTCTGATGTTTTGTTATCTGGGGCCTTGTTGTTCCAGAGAGAGCCCCTCAAGGACTAGCCAATTCCTTGAAATAGTAAAGGACTTGCCCACAAGCATGCCTTTCATATTCAAACCAATCAACCTGAAGCCTATACCCCAATCAGCTCCTTTCTTAGGATCTCACAGGGCAATGCCAGCTGCAAGCCTGCTTACCCTGCCTTCTCTTGCTTTCTCTCACAAACCATGATAAAGGCACTTGCTCAGAGTTTTCCTTGCTTCTTCTACCCCTGTGACTGACCCTGGTGCTTCCTTGTGTGGCCCCCTTAGGACATGGCATGCTCCCTCCTCTTGGGAACTGTGAGTAAAGAAAATTATGTATCTCTTCAATGACAATTGTCTCCTGATTTGTCTCATTATACCAAAATAATAATAAAATCTACATTTTAAAACAACTAATCACTAAATAGCGGGGGGGGGGGGGGGAGCTGCTCATTTTAATAATATTGTTGATGGCTTTATAGGTCTATTCTATTGTCCCATTTACACAGTGACAACAATAAGATTGGTAGGCTTCTCACCCTGAGCTAGATCAGGAGATATTTTTTTTATTGTAAATTCAAGCATGACCTTAAAAACCCTTAGGGATTTCCACTTTAAATAGAATCCTACTGAGGCACCTGGGTGGCTCAGTGGGTTAAAGCCTCTGCCTTCAGCTCAGGTCATGATCTCAGGTTCCTGAGATCCGGCCCCGCATCAGGCTCTCTGCTCAGCGGGGAGCCTGCTTCCTCCTCTCTCTCTGCCTGCCTCTTTGCCTACTTGTAATCTCTATCAAATAAATAAATAAAATCTTAAAAAAAAAAAAAGAATTCTACTTACATTTCCAGTGACATGACCACTGAAAATTTTTCATTCATATGATTTGGTGTAGTTATACATTTGCTCCCCTCTCTCCAACACACACTTTTTAAGGTAATTGGGCATTTAGAAAATAGCACATAAAATCTCTGATACATTAACTGATGGGTATTTTTAGGACTGGGGTCCAAGGGTCCTACTCCCCTAGTTCACCTTCTACCTCCCTACCCTATGACTCTCGGAATCCTAGGGTCTCTGGTAATAGAGATATAGAGAAATAACTGATTGACTGGACATAGCACAGAAGTGAAGAAGCTAAGTCCTTTGCTTAAGATAAGCCATTTGCTATCCTTTTCTCTTTAAAATAAGAAATAGCAAAGGAGCCATGTCCCATGGTCAAAGGAAAAGGCTCTGGGAAAGTCTTCCTAAATTTAAATGCCGGCTTAAACTTCCATGACTCTGCAACTGGGAAAGTTACTTCATTTCTCATTTCTCTTTACTTTACTTTTCCATCTATTCAAAAGGCTTTTGTTAGCAATATCACACACACATATATATATATATATATATATATATATATGCACATATATACACACACACATCTATATACATATATATGCATATATATATACATACATATACTTACCAGCTCATAATTAGCAATTTATAATAAATACGTAAAACATATTCAAACTAAAAATAAAGTGATGGAACACTCAGTTTCTTCCTCTTATATAAGATAGGAATAACACTAATATCTATTACTCAGAGTTATAGTAAGGATTAACTGCAATGATCAGAAGCATGCTTTCATATGCAAATCCAATACATTGCAATTAATTGTAGAGTGCATGTGTCTCTCCTTTTTTAATCCCCAGGCTCTTTTATTTTGTATTTCTTACTTACTTCAAGGTCTTTCTACTAGTGCTATTAATGAGATTTCCTATAAATCAGTCATAAGTAACGATTTATGAATTATAGCCGGTTCAAAGGTAATTTATAACCCACAGAAAATAACGCTTGGTACGTGCACTGAATCGAATAACCTACTATCAACAAAAGATTTTCTATTTTAAAATCTAAATTATGTTACTTTACATTAAAAGCCATGTTTCAGCATCTCTTTCATAAGATGATTTTATCACATCAAAAAGAAATCAATTTAAAAGTACGCTCTATCCATTACAATGTCATCTGACAGGGTTTATTTACAAATGGATCTGTATGGGTTTTGAATTAAGCTGTAATACTTTCAGCCTTGTCCCAGAGGATATTCTGACTTTGTCAACAGACCTTTCTTCTTTCCCTACCCATGCTTCAGTGCACTGAGATACAGGGGGCTGCTCTATTTAGCACAGTTTCATTGCTCAGTTAGCAGAAACTGAGTCTAGGTATTGGAACAAGTTTGGAAGCCAGGTAAAAGAAAGGTGA